GGGGGGGGGGGGGGGGGCGGAGGGGCGGCATTTCAGGCGGGTTTATTTTTTTCGCGGGACACGCGCGCCGGGAGCGGGTGTCACCACACTTTCCAGAAAGGACATGGGGTGCTGTGAGGAGGGGAGGAGGGCGCAGGAGGCCACAGACAAAGGCGAGGATCTTTCCCCCGTGGCGACCGCACGCACGCACGCACGCACGCACGCATGCGCGCGCGCTCTCCCTCTCCCCCTCGGTCCCTGTGTCGGTCTCTCCTCAGTGCATGACAGGGAACTTGTCCAGATCCGAGATGACATCGCGCGCGGTCATGGAAGCATCGTTGTACTGGATGCGCAGGCGCAGGCGGGGGCTCTCGCCGATCGGGCAGAAGACACGCAGCAGCAGGGGGGACACCTCGCCCGGGGCCAGCTGGGTGGAGGACAGCGGGCGCATCTGGACCTTCTGCGAGCGATACGGCGCAGCCAGGACCTTCAGATCGGACAGGCCGCCGGCCGACGTGTTCCGGAGCATGAGCCGAATGTTGAGAATACGGTTGTCGGTGGCATCGACCATGTAGTGCGGCTCGATGGTCATGTCGCCGGCCTGGACGGTCGGGGCAATGGCACCGCCGCCGGGGGACGACGGCTGGGCGGCCGGGGCGGCGGTGGCCGGAGTGGAAAGCCCCAGAAGGGCATCGAGAGAGGTGGCCGCCGGGGCACCGGTTGCCGGGGCAGCGGCGGTCGAGGTGCCGAGGCTCAGCTCCGACAGGAGATCCAGCGCAGCCACACCGGAGGAGCCGGTGGCCGGGGTGGACGAAACCCCGATCGGCTCGTCCAAGCCAAGAAGGTCGACCAGGAGGCCACCCGCGGAGGTGGCACCGCCTGCAGCAGCACCACCGACGGCCGGAGCCGCGTCGACAATCCCCGAGGCATCTGGCGACCGGGGCTGCGCGCTCTGGACCTCGGGGGTGGGCATCGGCTCGGCCAGCTCCCGGCGAAGGGCCTTCATGCTGGCATCGCCGGTGAAGAGGGCCGAGTATTCGCAAGCGCGCTGCTGAAGCTCGGCATTCGGGCTGCAGCGGAAGGTGTCCAGCATGCTGGCGATGCGGGTCTGCACGGCCTGGTCATCGGAGAAGCGGGCCGACAGCTTGAGCAGGGTGTTGAGGACATAGGCGCGGATGGTCTGGCGCGCGGGCAGGGCCGGGACCGCCGGGAAGCGGAGGATCTCCTCCAGCAGGTCGAGAACCTCCTGCTCGGAGATGGCCTGCTGGCGGCGGGCCTCCTCGGTGGCGGCCGGGGCCCCGTCATCGAGGGACTGCTCGTCATCGAAGAGGGCGGCCGAAGTGAAGGAGGGACTCCCATGGACCAGAACGGCGCCATACTCGCCGATGGACCACACGGCGGTGAGGACCAAAGCCGCCTGGCTGGCGTTCTCCCGGAGGGCGGTATACAGCTTGAGCACGGCGTACGGCTGGAGATCGGGCGACTGCTGGATGAGGGTGATAATCTCGCCGAGGATGTCATCACGGACGTAGTTGCCGGCCAGGCGGATGACGCGGATCAGGGTGTCGAGGTGCCAGCGGCGGTTCGGGGCGTAGCGGGCCGACACGGCGGCCAGCTCGGTGATGACATGCGGCTTGAGGGCGGGCTCGGCGCGCTCCAGGAAGAGGAGCAGCTCACGCACCAGCGGCCGGACATTGGAGGAGTTCATCAGGGCGAAGGTGAGATCCAGGGCGCGGCGACGGATGGACACGTCCGAGTCGTGCAGACACTCGACGACGGTCTTGCGATGGCGCTGGACGGCGGCCGGGTCACGCTGGATGGTCTGAAGGAGGGTATTGAGGGAGATGTAGCTGCGTGTGTGTGTGGGGATTTCGCGTGCGGGGAGGGGCGTGCATGGCCGAGGTCAGTGGATGTGTGGAGAGGGGGAAAGAAGGCAAGCGGCCCGAAGCGTACCGGGTGCTGTTATCCTTGCTGTTGGCCAGGAAGCGACCGATGATGTTGATGGCCATCACGCGGAGGCTCGGTTCGGCCTCGATGGCCATGATGGTGCGAACGGTCTCATAGAGGACCGCGCTGCCGATGTTGCGGGTGGAGGTGGTGTTGGGGGGGGGGGGGAGGGAGGGGAGTGGATGGGGTGAGAGGGGAGAGGGGGGTGGGGGGGGGAGGGTGGGGGTGGGGATGGGTGATGGGAAGAGGGGGGGGGGGAGGGGGAATGGCATGACGGGATCGATCACCATGCAGGGGGGGGGGGAGGGTCGTGGTGCAGTATGGCGACAAGCGCGCACCTGAGCCAGGATGTCGCCCATCAGGTCGGAGGACTGGGGATGGCCAGCGCCAAGGAGGCGGAGCAGGCGGAGGATGCGGATCTGCAGGAAGGGATCGGCGACGCCATCCATGTCGTGCTCATGCGAAGGGGGGCCGGTGATCAGGGCATTGAGAATGCGAATGATGTGGGCGGTATGCTGGGGAAGGATATGAGGGGGAGGGGGGGGGGGGGGAGAGGGTGTCAGCCACACGACGATGGGCAGGGGTGCAGGAGGGTGAGCTGGGCAGGGCAGGTGGGTGGGGCTGCCACGGCGGAAGACGCACACTGCGGAAGACGGCAAGCGACTCGGGGCTGATCATGCAGAGCTCATGGATGAGGGTGATGCCCGCGAGCAGGGCGCCGTGGTGCTTCTCGTTGAGGACATAGCGGATGGCCTTGGCGGTGAAGCCCTCGGCCAGGGTGGAGGGGGCGCGGGACACCAGGCGCACAGCGCACAGGTTGGCCTTCTTGCGGATGTAGCCACTGGAGCTGCCCATCAGGCGCTCAACATCGGTGGCCAGATCGTGGGCCATCTCGGTGGAGGTGATGCTGGCCACGGCGGCCAAGGCCAGACCATTGATGTAGACATTGGAGCTATTCAGGTCGCTGTGGGCACAGGGTCGGGAGCGGCGCGGGCAGGGGGGAGGAGGAGGGAGGAGTGAGACACTGGGAGACATGCACAAAAGGCGGGCGCGGTGCTGGCGGAACTGATGGAGCGCGGGGGACGGGGGGGGGGGGCACAGGGGCGCACTTCTTCATCGAGTTGATGGCCAGAGTCAGGACCTCCTGGCTCTCATCCAGGAGCAGAGTAATGCCGAGGTAGCCGAGGCGCTTGTCGGCAAAGCGCGGGGATGCCAGCAGCTTGACGCACTCAATCTGGCCTGTGAGGCGCGGGGGGGAGGCGGGCGGGACAAAGTCAGGACACAAGCAGGGGTAAGGCGGCCTGCCGCGGGGGGAGAGGGAGCGAGCGGACAGATCGGGAGGCATATGCACGCACCCCACTGGGCGGGGTAGCCCAGCATGTGGATGTAGAGGAGCTTGGCCACATTGCGGTGGCGGTAGTCAGCGTTGTCCTCCTTGAACTGAGTACGAATGAGGGCGGACTCCTTGGCGATCACGGCGCGCTCCTCGGCGGCGGTCTGCGGCGAGGGAAAGGGTGTGTGTGTGTGTGTGAGGGAGGGAGGGGACACAGGAGAGAGGTCGACGGCGTGAGCCAGAGCATGAGGTGGGGGGGAAAGCAGATGGGCCGAAGCAAAAAAAGGGCAAGCGGAGAGGCGCATACTCCCCGGCAGGAGGGCGCACCTTGGAGGAGCGGACCGAGCGGACCAGGTCCTTGAGGCGAGTGGAGGAGGAAAAAAGGCGGTCCATGGCTGCGGTGGTGCTCGGGTAGCGTGGCGGAGCCAGAGGGGAGGGGGGGGGGGAGCTGACGAAGGGGGAGGGAGGAGAAAAGAGGAGGAGGAGGAAGGGAAGCTCTCCCGGCGAGGGGGCAGGCGGGGATTGAGGGGAGGCAGAGGGGGGCGAGAGGAAGGAGCGGGGCTGTGAGGGTGGAGGAGAGACCGGATCGATCTCGCTGGTGCTCGGGGCTCTGGGAGGGGAGGGAGCCGCCCCAGGGGTGGCGGCACTTTTTTCTCGCCCCCTCCCCGGGCAGGATCACCCTGGGGAGGGTGTCCGGGCCCGCCCTTCCCTCTGGTCGGCCCCCCCCCCCCC